TTGGGTCTCACGGTCGACTGCAAGTCGTCTTCCTCGGAAGAATACGGCTCCTCTCTGGCTGTTCGAAACGACTCGGCCCGAGACTCGGCAGTCGCTGTTGTCGCTTTAGAGACTGTGCGATCCATCGGAATCGGTCGTACAGCCTTGGGTCGCGTCACAGGCTGGGGAGGTGTTACGTCTGGAGTGGGCGGACTCTTCTGGTTTGGAGGAGTCGCAGGCGCACGCGCTGGAGTGATTGGCGTTTGCGACACATTCTCAGGAGACGGGCTCGGAGGCGGGATCGAGTGAGTGCTTGACGAGGTACGCGAGTGGGAAGGCGGCGTCGGAGGTAGATCCGGGCCGCTTCCTATTCGCCTCGACTGATGCCTCAAGGTTTGGGAAGCAGAGCGTTGCGACACATCTGCTTGCGACACGGGGCTGTCTGTGAGGGAACCGTATCTTCTGGGAGTCGACTGGACTTCGTATGATTCGGTTTCGCTGGGTTGCTTTCTTGGATGCGGAAGCACTTTGTGCTTTTTGAACATTCTCTGTCCTGCCAAGCTGCCATTTGGCGAGCCGTAGGCGTAGTTTGCAGGTCGCGCTGCCATGGTTGACGATTTTGAATTAGCAGCGGTTGTCATTTTCGCAGGCGTCTATCGGTGTGTTGCGGTCTGCAGGCTGGCGATGCATGCCAAATGCACACACACTAACCCGTCGCAGGTTATGATGCGGTGCGAGGCTTTGAGCGGGCGAAGGTCATTTGCATGCTGGGTAGAGTGAAGTTCATAGGTAGGCGAAGGTGATTGCGACGCGCGAGGGTGTGGCAGTGGTTGCAAACAAGAAGTTGGAGAGCGAGGCGGCGGGTAAAGTACGAAGGTCGCAGTGCGTACTGCGTGGTGGGGAGGGATGTCGGGGTGAGGCGAAAGTCTCAAGGGTACGTGTGAGACATTGAAACAGGACGACTTCGTTGACGAATCGCGTAAGGGTCTGGTCCAACGCCGCACCCCCGGGAAGAGGTCGTAGCAGTGAAGGACGATTGCCGACACAATGAGACGGAACACGAGCCCGACAGTGGTTCAATCCAGCGAGAGGATAAGACGGACACAGCGGTGGTTGAAGAAGAGGAGGAAGAGGAGACGAAGTCCGAGGGGAAGGAAAAGTGGTGTCAGTTGGTCGGTCACGATGCAGGCGCAGGGTCTGTTCTGAGAGAAGGGCGGATGAACAGTCGCAGCTGCGTGAGCCGAATGAAGGGGCGCGATGCGATTCGATTCGATCGGGTTGTTTGTTCGCACAGACCGACGTAAGGAGAGGAACGAGACGGGATGAAAGGTGAGATTAAAGCTGAGAAGCAGCGCGTGCTAGTCGAGGCAAGGAAAAGGAGCAGCAGCAGGAGCGGAAGCAAATCCAAGGCCCCGACGATGCGGACGGACTCTGGCGCTATTTTGGTGCAGCACACGGCTTCAGGAGGTTGAGACGATGGAGACGGACGAACAGTTGGAAAAAAGAATGACGGGAAGGATGATTGGCAGGGGGGGAAAGGGTCTGACGCAGAAAACAGAAGTGCTCTTTCTTAGGTCTGTCTGTCCTGTCCTGTCTTGTCCTGTCTTGTCCTGTCTGAGGTGGTCAAAGGTGGGCAGCAGTAGCAGCAGAGAATGCGGCAGGTCTTGGACCTGGGTTGGTGCAAGTTACCTTACCTGCGGTGGGCAGAGCTGGTGGTGATGAGGGTAAGGTACACCTACCTAGTACAAGGACAATTCCGGGTACGAACATTCAGCAGCAGCAGGTTGGCGGTGCCTTATTGGTAGACAGTACAGAGCACATCCAGGCTAGCGGGACGCAACAAGGTGAGGTCACGACCGTCTTGCTGGGTGTTTCCCTACGTCTAGAGCTGTCAAGATACCTCTTCCCTACCTCTTCACTTTCTCCTTTCTGTCCGGATTCTAAAAGTGCGAGGGAGCGTGGGGCATCCTGTCCTCCTCACGGTGTTCCATACGACCCGGCCAAGGATAGCACACGAAAGAAACATGCCCAACATGACTGGCAAACAGCAAGTGGACTTGCCAGGTGACCTGCTGCGCATTTCCAGCAAGCGTCACTCACCTCAGAAAAACAGTGGATCTGGGACTTCCAAGCCCGGGCCAAGCCTCGACTCGGCGTATGTAAGAGCAGCCCCGAACTGCAAGAAAAAAGCACAAAAAGTGGAAGCAAGGAAAAAAAAAAAAGGGTTGGCAGGGAACGAGTGTCCGATCAAAGGTCCCATCTAGCATCCCCCGTTGCAAGCCAAGATCCCTTCCATTCCTAGGTACGTCCGGATACCTTACCTCTCAATAAGTGCCAACCAGCTGCCTTCGTTTCGTCCACCTGCGCACCGCACAATTATTTTTTGCCCTCGCATCTCCTGTTAACTCCCTCTGTAGTCCGGATACCGCGCGCGGTACGCAGGTCTTACAAGGAAGATACGTGTAGCAAGCAGCAGTAGCTCCGCCAGGGGGGCCGAATGAGGAACGGCAACACCACCTCGCCCGCGTCGTAGCGTGATGGGAATGCGCTGCGAGCGCTGAAGGACGCCGGGCAAAGCGGGGCCGTTGCTCGTTCTTCCAGCAGCTCCAGGCCCACGCCGTGCTGTCATAGGCTGCGCTCCGTTAGTGGTTGCATCGTCCTGCAGCTGTAGTTTCCTTCTCCTGCAAAGTCGTGCCAACTGACTTCTTTTCTCCCCCAACCCAACCCAACCCGGCTCCTCCCTCGCCCGTCTCTCCGTCTCCCCCTTCCTCTTGCTCTTCCTCTCTCCCTGCTCTGCTCCGGTTGGACCGGCCGGCGGAGAGGGCCGTCTTCATGTCTTTGATCTCCATCCTTCACCCATGCCCCTCTCCGACTGGTCTGGCCACGCGCCCTACCTAACCTTCCCTTACCTCAAAGTACCTTCGGTGCAGTCTGTTACCACCAGCTTTCGTCGTCGCAGCACACGACACTGATGCACATAGAAATGCTACCAGTGTCGGAGCCACGTATGAGAAGCGAGGAGGAAGCGAAGTGTCACTCGGCACTGCCTCAGCCCGCGTTCTCTCTCTCTCATGCCCTCTCTCCCTCCCTCGCCCACAACTGGCGTCCGATAAATTGTAAATTGCTCCGAGACAGATGAGAACTGCCTACGAGCCCTGCAAAGGGCGAAGCAATCAGCGCTCTTCTTTGGCTTCCTGCATGAAACCACCCGCAGATTCAGAAACAGGACCACTGCAGTGGCTGCACAAGAGCATACGAGGCGAGACGGATCTACCGGCGCCCCTGCCATGCACCAGATCAACACCTCATCGGAACACGGGATTCGTCCCGGTCGCCAATAAAGAGCTTGCCCGGCGCTGCCACGAACCCGCCGATTCAGGTCTTGCTTCGAGCCTGCGTCAAGGTTTTACTCGAAACTTTTGCATTGCTCGCTGCGCAATGAGCTTCCCGAGTCAAGCTTGTCAGCTTGATTCCATGTGTCTTTGCGGGTTTTCAGTGTCCACTCAGCCGGCCGGTACGTAAACCAGCCCGTAAAAGCCTCCGGAGCGGAGCACCCGCGGGTCCGGGCGCCCAAGCTCCCGTGAAGCTCGGCCCCTTCGGTCCGCAGGAGCCCAGTAAATTTCCTTTCTTGAGCCACCGGACCGGGCGGAAATCTGTCTTCACAAGCCAAAAAGGAGTGCCTGCTCAACTTTGCTAGGTGGTTGCCGTGTCGGGGTCGGAGGTTTCGAGTGGTGGTAGAGAGGTGCTGCGACTTCGGCGAGCCGACCAATGGCCATGGCCGTAGCCGTAGCCAGTACACACGAGTGACGTGAAGAAGAAGGACATACGGCTGTTGAAGAGGGAGCCTAGTTTCAGGATCCCTGGGGCCGACGACAGTCTTATCTACCTTACGGCTCCGGATCTTGGCCACTGCCGAATTCTTCATGTTTATCACGGCGAACTGTCGCCGACCGCACGGGATAGAGCAGACGGCCCCAAGGTGGCGGTTGCTCCCCGTTTCCCTATTCGGGTAAGCGCTCAGCACAGCTTGCATGTGCTAGCGTGGCGTAGCTTTATCTTATCAGCCCCGCGTGGGTGACGCCCCACGTCATCGACAGGACCTCCAAGTCTGAGGAGCCTTCGACAATGCATCGCCTTCAACAAGGACGCCAAACAGACGGTTCTTTGCACATTGAACGACTCATGAACATTTCGAAGCCATCTTCATTGGCTGCTTCATGCCTGGCTCTACCGATGTGACGGGCGTTCCCCGCGGAGCTAAGGTTGTGCTGTAACGACTCCATGGCTCTCTCCAACACCCAACCGGCGGCCCTGCAGAACATGCATCTCTGGAGCCCATTCCGGCTTATCTCTATCATAGTTTGCATCATAACACCGACAACACTCCAGAGCGACCCCGCCTTACTCATGCCATTCAGAGCGTCCAGATCGTCCACAGACCGTCGGGACGTCCTCTATCCTCTCAAGCTAGAACCTCGCCGCCGGCCCTCCTTGGTCGGCACAACCCTGCCATGAGCTCAAGCGAGTGTTTGGCCTGGGGTCTCCGTCCGGAGTGCAGAATTGACTTTGCAAACCCAATGGAAAGCTTGAACCAAGCATCTGCGCTGATCTTGCAAGCATCATGACCCTCATGAAGGAGGGAGCTTTATCTCTGCCCCGCATCTAGCCCGGCATCTCTTCCATGGGTTCGCCTTTACCTAACATGAACACGTCAATACGTTTGCATGGAGATGCATCTGAATATGTCCATTGACCAGTCCCGTCCCAGGGACCTTCTGTCGGTGTGGCCAATCCGTAGACGATAAGCCTGGGAGCTGGTCCCAGTCCCTGCGTAATGCTGCACTGGGCCTCCATGCGTGGAGAAGAGCTGTCGAGCTCGACGGCCAATCTTTTCCAGAATCTCTCGGACGTTGCAGCTACCCGAGAGTTCTGTTTTAAAAGCTCAGTCTTCGCCCGCACGAAGTTTTGCTTGGTTTCCCGTAGCCATTGACAAAGATTCGCGCCAATCGACCGTCAGCAACATGATTTCCCGGAGTCTTCTCGCCCTTGCCCTCACGGCAACCGTCTACGGTCACGGAGACCATGACCAGAAGTCCATGTCTGGACCTCACCAGTCTCTCTGGTACACCACTCTGCCGGGTGATGGCGGTACTCAGGTGCGCAGAGCAAAAGCATGTGTGTCTACATCACGTCACTGACAATCCTAGGCCGACTCTGTGTTCTCGGGCATTTCCACCTTCGGTCGTTTGCCTTACCAGCCGTGTCTGGCGCAGGGCAACGTCCAGTACGATATTGCCTTCATTGGTAAGCACGTCGTTCATTGCCGGTTACTGGAGCTACGCTGACTTTGGAAAGGTGCTCCCTTCGACACTGGTACCTCCTACCGCCCCGGTGCTCGTTTCGGACCTTCCGGTATCCGTCAAGGCTCTCGTCGCCTGAACCTCTAGTAAGATCCATATGAGGGCATCGTCACAACACCATCACTGACTCTCTTCAAGCGGAGGGTACAACGTCCCCTTGGACACGAACCCTTTCAACAGCTGGGCTACCGTCCTCGACTGTGGCGACATCCCCGTGACCAGGTATGTCTCTTCTGGCAATCTCCCCGCTTATACTTACATCGAAATAGCTATGACAACACCTGGGCTCTTCACCAGATCGAGGAGGGCCACTTCAACATCCTGACCCGCAAGCCTGCCACGGATGCGGCGAAGAAGGGCCCGGCCAAGAACTCGCGGACTCTGCCCCGTGTCATCACCCTCGGCGGTGACCACACGATCACCCTCCCCCTGCTGCGCTCCATCAACCGTGCCTACGGTCCCGTGTCCGTCATCCACTTTGACAGCCATCTCGACACCTGTGAGTACCTTCAGCAGATGAATCGCTTTCTGAATGCTAAACAGAGTCAGGGCGCCCCAAGGTCTTCGGCGGCTCGCCTTCCGAGGTCGCCAGCATCAACCACGGCACCTACTTCTACCACGCCTCCCAGGAGGGCCTTCTCCGCAACGACTCCAACATCCACGCCGGCATCCGCACCACGCTCAGCGGCCCCAGCGACTACGAGAACGACGGCTACTGCGGCTTCGAGATCGTCGAGGCCCGCGAGATCGACACTATCGGCACCGACGGTATCATCAAGAGAATCATCGACCGCGTCGGCACCAAGAACCCCGTCTACCTGTCTCTGGACATTGACACCCTCGACCCCGCCTGTAAGTGGGCAAGTGCTTCGTGTTTTGTTGTGTAAAGGAACAAGTCATGCTGACCGGCTTTATGCAGTCGCCCCTGCTACTGGTACCCCTGAAACTGGCGGTTGGTCTACTCGTGAGCTTCGCACTATTCTGCGTGGACTTGAAAGCCTCAATCTGATTGCTGCGGATATCGTCGAGGTCGCTGTAAGTCTTCCCCACGGCATTGAAACGTTTGTAGTGGAAACTGACACTAACACGTCGACTTACACAGCCTGCGTACGACACCAACGCCGAGCACACCACCATGGCCGCTGCCGACGCTCTGTACGAGATCATGAGCATCATGGTCAAGCGCGGACCCCTCAGCGCCATGGTCAACGAGACCGAGTCTGCTTCGGAGGAGTTGTAATCACATAATATCCATCCTGGGGACCTAGGGTGCCGAGAATGGTTCTGTGGTCAGATTGGATTCTTGACAGCCTAGTGACGAAGGTTCTATAACAGGCGTTGGTTGGTGGGTGTCGGTGAGAGGAAAAGTTGGTGATTGGTGTCGCGATCGGTGGGTTGTTGTCATGTTTATCACGAGTCTATGAGAGTACAAAACAAAGCACGTCGAAAAATGATCAAGTCGTGGTACTGTTGAAAAAGAGGACCAAATGGCAGTAGCTTTGGAGACACAGACAATCATGAGCTGCAAGAGAAATCTAATATGAAAAACATGAAGAATCGCTATAATACACTCAACATGGTCAGTCTCGTGTAGAGAGATTGTACCTCAAGACCTCCGAGGAAGAACATCACGCCTGACTGAGCATCGACTCTTTTACTACCTCACAAAAGATTGCTTCATCGTGTAAGCTAACATTCAACATGTCACTCGTAGGAGGGGCAGCAATGACATCATTTCAAAGTCGTCAAGTCTTCTTCACAGGCATGACAGGTCAGCTGAGAGACAGAGAAGACAGGACTGCCCTCCCACCCCGTCGCGCTCGCCATCTCCCTCAGCTGCCAGAACCCAACCCGCGTCTGGAATGTGCAGCGCATCGGAGCCCGCATCGCGATTTGGGGGCCGAGGGAGGTCTCTGTTAGAGTTAGTGGGGGGTGGGGGGCAGCACGGACGGGACCCAAAGGCGCCTCCACGCTGCTATGTGTGTTTTCGGTAGCGGCGGGGACGAATCGGACAGGGCCTCTTGAGTGGTTTTCTATTTTCGTTACAGGGTCAGGCTGGTTAAGGGCAGGGGGGGAAGGCAGGGAACATTCCAGCGCGCTGGGTGCGCCGGTGGAGGCCAACTGCCCAGACATGCCTTTTCTTTGCTCTGTTGAGGTACGCGAACGGCGAACATGCAAGTTGCATGATTTCAATAGTATCGTCAACGGCGTTGGTGCCGACGGAGAAATGGCGGCCGCAGCCAGCAGATCGTGTAAGTGAGTCAAGGATAAGAATAGCATTGTGCCATGCTTGCACCGAACGCCATCGAGGCTGGTCCAGCTGAAAGGATACGGATCCAAAAACGTTGGTTTCTTCACAGGTCTCGCCACAAGTGTCAAGCCTCAAGCTTAATCGGCACCGCGGGCCACGAGGCGGTGCCTTCGCTAGCTACCTTACCGAGCGCCCGTCGTCGCCGTAGGTTAAGCAGCTGTCAAACCGTCTACTCGTTCTCATTCGACAATCTCGCGATCTCAGCTACATACTGCGCAGTGCCACAGCTGGGCAGCTACAACAGCAGAGTTCACGGGGCAAGAAGCTTAGCATCTGTCACGGCGAGAGAAATCTCAGATCCGGTCACGTTTGCTTCTCCGTGGCAATGACGCAGACCACACTGCGCCCAGCTCCGAATGCCGGATCATCCGCGACTGCTCCGTCCCATCATGCAACCTTGGCGACTCGGAGCGGATAACGGACCTGGTCGAGAGTCATTCCTTGCGCTGATGACCCATGTGTGATGAAGAGCCTGCGACGGAGGGTGGCTTGAACGCCTGCACGTGTTGTCGCCGCGATTTCTCGTGGAGGTGGTGGTCGTTCGTTTCCGGGCGGGAGGGAGAACGTTTTCGCCCCGGCCACCTGCAGGTTTGCGTTGTATAGGCTTGTCTCACTCGGTAGCGGATGCCCGGTGTTGGAAATTGCCCGTCGGCAGAGTCGTTGTCTGTGAGGACTTGAAGATGCGAACGGTTGCAAATCTCTCCAGTGTCCTGGTGTAGAGTTCCACACGTGGAAATCTGTTCCTCGCCTCATGTAACTGACAACATCTCCAAGGAACTGTAACCTACCAACCGATCAGTATGGAAGAGATATGAAGGCATCTCGGAGATGTGACGGGCCGGAAACGACATTCTGGCAGGCTCTGCAGAATGCGTAGCCACAAGAGGTTGGAATTCCGTTTCGTGATGTCAGCGACACGGTCATCCTCCCCGTCTCTCCTCTCGTTTTCCTGATGGCGAGACATTGCGGTGTGGGTTTCCCTTGCCTGCCACTGGCATTCACTGACCCTCCAAAACGCAAAAAATACCTTGTCCCGGTCCATCGGAGACTTCTGCCGAGATCCTGGTTGCAGAAACATCTCACACCATCGTTTCCCGCATATCGCACCCAGGCGAGGTAGACCGGCGCGAAACCTACACAAACGCTCTCGGACACATTCTAGTCAGCCAGGTACGGCTGCAGGCTAAGACCACACAAAAGCCGATATTTGAACGAGAGCTATGAGAAAAGGAAGAAAGAAAAAGAACGGCCGAGAAATGCGAAGGGCAGCCGTATCTGTCAGATGCAAAGTCCGCCCAATAGACCGAGGAGCGCCCCGATTTCGTCTCATCGGGAAACCCGCGTGCGCCGCTACCAGCCTCAGCCCAGCCCGGCTGCGCCAGTACCGTCAACCTGTCCCTTTTTCGTGTCTCAACGCTTCTTGTCTCTCTCCGCGACTCCAGCTGTTGCTTGGATGGGTGGACAGGCTTGCCTTGCTTGCGTTGCTTGCTTGCGCTAGCTTGCCCATCCCAGCCTCTCCATCCCACGCGCTCCCGAAGATGGCTTCCCGACGTTTCTTCTCGCCGCCGTCGCGACTAATAAGCTCACACCATCTTTCACCATTTATATATGGATGCCCTTGCTTCCAACACCCACCCTCACTTGCCGAATGTTTTCACCATCCCATCTTCACTCATCGTCAGTTGCATCATATTATAGCATAAGCATCACATCACTCGTTTTTGTGTGCTTTGCTCTATATATACTATCTGCCCTCTCACTTACACCGTCCGGTCGACTTGCTTCATAACTTCTTCAACACCGAGTAAGGAAGCAGAACATCCACTGCAAACCATAAAAGATGAAGACACACACCTGCATACTGTTGGCCATGTCGGCCATAGCATCAGCCGATTACACATAGTGAGTCCCCTTCCTCCCTTCCATCACTCGACGTCCCTCCCTCCACGCAACTAACACGCAACGCACAGCAACCAAACTACGGGCGTATACACCTGCTCCCGCGCCAACTCCCAATGGTGCGCCGGCGACTCCTTCGGCACAGACATCATCATCCGCTGCAACGCCCAAGGCAAGGGACAGCCGGGCCGCTGCACAAACAACCTCGCCGGGGAGTACCCCCGTGGCGTCCAGCCCGCGCAGTGCTGGATGAGCAACGCCGACGCGGGCGATGCCGCCTGCGAGAAGAACTGCGTCGTCTACGCCAGCCCCCAGCCCTTCCTCCTCCCGCCCAGCGTGTGCACTCCGTACTCCGCCGTCACGGGCTCTCAGACATACCCCGTCGGGAGACCTACCGGGACAATGGCCCCCGGTGGTAATGGTACCGGTGCTGGCGGTGGACGCGGCGGCGGCGGTTCCATGATGACGAGGAGCTCTTCGACGTTTGGATTCACTTTTCCCATGCCCGAGCCTACAGGCCCTGGTACTGGCGGCGGAGGCGGTGGTAGCGGTGGTGGTGGTGGTGGCGGTCGCGGTAACGGCACTGCTCCGACGACTTCTCGTGGTAATGGCATGGCCCCCTCGATGTCTCGCGGCAATGGCACTATTCCGACAACTGTCCCCCGTGGTAACGGTACTGCCCCAACAACGACCCCGGGCGGCAGTGGTGCTCCCGGAGCTCCTACCAGCAACCCCGGCGCACCTGGTACTCCGGGCCAACCTGGCCAGCCGGGGCAGCCCGGTCAACCTGGACAATCTACCCAACCTGGTCAGTCTGGTCAACCCGGCCAGTCCACCACCCCTTCCTCTTCCGCAACTCGAACCCCAAGCGGTCCCACAGGCACTCCGAGTTCTCCTTCCAGCACGGGTCCTTCTTCTGTGCCAACAGCTGGTGCCGCTCAGAACACCGTTGGTTATCTTGCCGTTGTTGGCGTCGTTGCTGCTCTTTTCCTGTAAATCCACTCTCTTGATATCCCGTACGGAGGAATTGTCGAATTATTGGAATTACAAGCCATTTATACACATAGTACTGTTTGTTTTAATCATCGGCATCGTGGAACATGCTAGGATCAGGGCTGGCCACCAGGCGTATGGAGTTGTATTTATGCAGATCGTGTTGTAGTCGTGGTGTTACCTGATGCACTGCTGAAAGAGTCATTACCACTAATGCCGTCGTGTGAAAGTGAGAACAGTCCATTCGGAAAGTCATCTTGGACATATAACACGTTACGGAATGGATCCCTTTATTATACAATAGCCTAGACATGTTTAAATATGCAAGGTATCTATTCCATTTGACTCGTAAACGAAGACAACCTCGCCCTCGTACAAACATAGGTGTTGCTTAGGATTGCGGCGCCACTCGGTTTCGCAGACCGGCTTCGCAGCGAGGGTCCCAGTCTGCGTATTACACCGTCGTTCTGCAACAAGTGCAATTCAAACAGGAGTTTTGCTAGCCGGGCAGTGTCCCCTACAATTTCAACCGTAGCGTACCCAATACTTCGATTGAAACGATAGTAGTAGAGAACACGATACTACAAGGGACTACATTTCCCACCTCTCTTTTGTCATTATTATTCTTATGATTTCTATCATCGTCGCTTCTATCATCATCGCCTCTATCATCGTCGTCTATCGTCGTCGTCCATCGCTATCGTCCATAGTCGTGGTCTAGCGTCGTTAACTTTACAGCTGCCCCTATTCTTTCTTCTACTATTACCGTCCTTATAGAAGTAATAAGTACGGTAGTGACACTGCCTGGCTAGCAAAGCTCTTTCTAATTGGTTAAAAACAAGGAAGATGACTCCAGCTCTATATCAAATGTATAATACATGACGACTACAGGTGGTTGAAATGCTCCTTCAAGCTGTTTCGTCTCGTCCTAGGCGCATTTGAAGGAGATAGGGCATATCGTAGGACTCTTTTAAAAAGATTTCGCAGTCACGAAATAGACCATATAGACAACACTAACGGCAAAAGAATGATGGTAACAGCTATAGAAATAGTAGGAATGATTCATCGTGTACTATTATATATAGAAAATGGCACTTCGCCCGCTTGAGAATCCTCCCGGATAACAAAGCTCTTTCGAGTGGTAAATAGAGGTTGGATTTCCTATATTTCGAGTTCTCTAGCTGTAACATGTCAGAACTAAGGTTCTCAAGTCACTTGGATCATTCAGTACTCACAACTATGTTGTGCTGCCTGCTCCATTGCTTTTAGATACCAACCCAACTGGCCTGCCTTTTCAACGTGATACATCGATTCCTCGTCATGTCTTCGATCATGAATTATTTTTTGAATCATGGCTTCGAAGCTTGGTGTACGTTTTAGCGCACATGTATTACTACATGCTGCCTTTTGTGGACAACGTCGGCATCTCTCTTCCCAGGGAAGGAACATGAGGCTTTCCGCCTCATGGAGGCTCATCCCTAAATTCGGGAATCCGTCCAAACTCGGCCAGGCGGCTTCGGGCTCGTCGAGAGTTTGGTGTATGTTGTGGATCAGGCTCACAATCTGTCTATCCTTCAAGTTCCAACAGTAGAGGAAAAGTTTGAAATCTGAAATCTCGCATTCGTCGGGTAGCAATGACGCATTGTCTGACGGACTAGTCACCTGCAACCGCCGGTGTGGTGAATCGTTGTTGCTAAGCAGCATTAAAAGCGCGACAGCCTGTCTTTTGAACTTAGCAGAAAGAACGGGCTTCAGCACCTTGTTGAAGGTGCGGCAGACACGAAGAAACACCCATGACCGCCTCCAAGTGTTGAAGAAATTGGCGTCGAAAAGCTCATCGATCGATGCGGTTGTCTCGTCGAAATCGGCAGGTCATTCAAAATTCTCTGGCAGCAGTATCTTCAGCAGAAGCTCGTTCGGTAGTTTCTCCATGGCGACAGCTTCAGAGTCCGGGGATCCCAACGGTTTGTTTGTATCTGTGCGTGAAGGACGACCGCCGACGTTGCATGCTGCAGGCAGCTTTATGTTCGGATCGGCTTGCTCACAAGGTTTCCTCACAAGGTCGAAGAAAATGTGCTTCGAATCCTTATTTCCGGAGATTGGGGCACCATTGTGGCGTTCCATGGCGCGCGCTACGTGGGGGGTTCGTGAGAAGCTAAGGGAGAGAAGGTGAGACACCACTTTGGATCGCGCCTGCTCACCCCTTGGGAATGCGCCAGCTATGCCCTAACTTTATTATTCCCAACAACCTGGATAGATAAGGCGCGTTCACCACGCCTCACCTCTCTTTCCCTATACCTTGACAACCACGATGCCCCGGACGTTTCCGTCATCAAACCAACCTCAAATCCGCGCCGAGTAACTCAATCCGAATCGTTCCCTTGCCCAGAATCAACGGGAGAGCCATGGCAGTTGTCCGACAGCCTGCCGTCTCCGGGACCCGCGTTTACGTTATGATACTGCTAGGCATCGGAGACCTTGGCGCCATCGTCTGGGAGGTCCTTGCAGCGATCATTTGGGAGGTGTGGATCACCCTCACGAACCACTTCCGCCTCTTCGTCGCGACCTACCCCCTTATGGGACTCCTCTTCCTCATTACTCGCGGATTCGACCTCACGACCTGCGTCGGCGTCTGCTGCGGCGCTTATATGTACACCTCCTTCTTGTACTACTTCGGTCTGCGGGACCGTCTGCCCTGGGCCTGCCTCGTCGCGACGCTCCTCACCTTCGAGGGTCCGAACCCACGACTGCTGCGCCGAGGAGCGGTGACTGCCTTCATGCTGGCGCGGGACGACAGCTTCGGCGAGCTGTACTCGAAGCGGGTGAGGAACGCGGAGGTTCCGTGGGAGGATGGAAGCGGGTTTGCGTTTTTGTTCAACTTTGAGGGCCGAGAGCTGCTGAGGGAGGTCTGCTTGTATTTGGTCAACACGCTGTGCTCGTCGTTCGACCGACCTCGCGTGCAGGACGACTTCAAGCTGCGGACATCGGTCAGGACGGTCGATGTTCTTGTCCTTCCACTGCTGGGGCTGATAGACTGGGCTTGGAGATACAGACGTGCGCAGAGACGACTGAGAAAGGCTCGACTTGCTCGAGAAAAACCGCAGGCAGTTGAGCAACAAAGTTGAGGAGAGGAATGATATAGATCGTGGACGGGTTCGTTTTGAGCATGTTTAAAAAGCAGTCCTAGTTGAGACACGGACCTGGACAATACAAACACAATTGGGTATCGAGTTGAATCGAAAACGGACACCTCCAAAATTCCGAGAAAAAGAAACTCGTTGACTCATGCGCTGATTGGCCCGGCCTCATCCTGCCACCACTCCATGAAGGTCAAAATTCGCTTCGTACGCTCTCTGGCCATTTCCTTGCCGATTTCCGTCTTCATCATGCCCTCCAGCTTCACCAGCTTCTCCTCAAAGTGCAGGATGCTGTCGTCCATGCTCCGAGCGCCCTTGGCACCGCCAAACGTAAAGCATCGGCCGACGCCCACGGCGCCGATGGCATCCAAACGGTCGGCGTCTTGCACGACTGCAAGCTCCGGGTATTCGGCGATCAGGCTGCGGACGCGGGCCGGATTCTTGACCTCACTGGAGTAACTGACTCCGAGACAGATGGTCTGTACGCGGGCGGCAAGGTTTTCATCAGCACCCAGAGACTGGAGGACTGTGGAAACTAGTGTCGATGCGTCTTCGCCGGGCTTCAGGTACTTGCGGTCGCCAACGTCATGGAGGAGGGCCGCGAATGTGATGGTCTGCTTGTCTAGTGCTGGGCTGGCAGGGGACTGGTCGTAGATGCGGTGGGCCAGTGAGAGGACGCGCTTGATGTGGTTGAAGTCGTGGGAAGCATCGTACTTTGCCATGTAGGCCTCGACGTATTCGGTGACCTTGGCGATAAGCCCTTCGTTTGTGTTTGAGTTGGAGGCCATGATGAAGACTGGGCGATGGCAATCAGGTAGTCGAACTTTCCTTCAGATTATTCTTTCTGGGATCGCACTTGACGAAAGCCTCTAGGTCTTCCGAGACCGAGACAGCTGTGCCTTTATCGAAGGTACCTGCAAGACTTCTCGCAGGTAGATTGGTAATCAGAGGTCCCAGCGGCGGTCTGCGGCAGACTTGAGGCTGATCGAAGCTGTTAGTTTGATCTTCGAGAGCTGCTGCCTTGAAGTGACTGAGTCAGGCCGGCGCTAGAAGCAGGAGATAACCGGAGCAAACGCGGGCAGTACGCGACTCAACAACGGACGAAATTCGCGACATTGGAACGGCAACATGTGCACAGTCACGTGATGTAAGCTTTCTGTAGGTGGATCCATTGGCCTCTCACGGGCGATCCCGCTGATTCCCGCCAGGTACTCCCGTCACCTACGAGATGCCACACCAACCTCACCACAACGGCATGGATCTTGGATGGCCAAGATTCTTGGTCGAGGTACGCAAGATCACCCCGTGTGAGGCCTGCAACGTCGACGTTACTCGCGGACATTCAGCTCGTCAGCAGACAGAAATCTCGCCATGCTGAGGTCAGACCGCTTCGAGCCTGCAGTCTTTGTGAGACATCCGCCGGCATCACCAAGCACTTCGCTGTTGATATCTCACGTCGCCTCGGGCGCATGGATATCGTCGTCCGGCCACAGGATCCTTCCGATGTAACGGAACTGCGATCACGATGAGCTGCTTTTGGCGGTCCAGACTTTCTGCATGCTGCGAACTGGATCCTCGATCCAAGATGCCATGAGATGCCATGAGATGCCATGAGGGGATATCGACGCGGCGTCGTCCATCCTCTCTCCAGCAAGGCAGAGCTCCTTCCGTGTGATGGGCCTCACATACCCGCCGAAGCTAGAGACCGTCGCATGCATGGAGCCGGATGACGCACCTTGGGACCATCCCGAAGAAGAATGGAACGGCAGGCAGTATCTCACCTTCCATCGCCGAGGTGTGGGTGGCTCAAGGTCACGCAGAGGGGCGGATGTCGACCGAAGGCGGAGGACGGCAGTTTGCCCTTGGCGGGTCGCCTTAGGATCGGCCTTGTTGACAGCAGCCGACAGGGCAGGCAGGCAGGCAGGCCAGACCGCCCAGGAAATGGGGAGCAGGCTGCGGAACGCATGGCTTTTTGGCTTTTCTGCCCCCATTTCTGCGCCCTCTCCCAGCTCCGGATCTCGGTAGTGTTTGATCTCCCACAGGCCCCTTATTCGGGGATTTTTTTGAGCACTCCTTGGCCTGGGTTCCATTAACCATCGCATCTTTGACACAACAGACGGATATCGACTTGGACAGACGATCGAGAATTGCATGTGTCTTCCATGGTGCGATGCAAAGGCACGTACGATGAGAATGCTGCGAACGACGGCGTACAGAAGAGCCTGCATGTTCGTCAGGGAACCAGGAACATGGCGTCTGGCGCCTCTTTCCGTGTCCCTTTTCTTCCGACTCGCGCGATCTTCGGCTCTTCCCCTGGGCGACGGCTGGCGGAGGCCATCAACACTCCAATGAGGAAGTTTGTCTTCTCAGCAAGCCGCGCATGTACATGCAGACCGCATGCATGTTGACTCGATGCATGATGCAGTATGTCAGTTCATTCAGTGATGCGGACAGACCGATACGGCGAGCGAGCGAATACGGTGCGGGAATTCGGTCATGGGCATTTCTCCTCATCTCGCACTTGGCTGGCCAAGCCAATCCCGTTGGAAAGAAAAAAGTATAAGGAGGGCTGGAAGGCTTGTGAGAGTGGTGATGCTTCCACGAAGCTGCATACGGGCAGTTGAAGAGTTGAGATGCTGATTGGCGCGAGGTGCAGCACATCACCAGGTGACGGGTGATAAGCGACCGGGCACAGAAGAGCGACGTGCAAATCTATTGGCCAATGAGGGCAGGGATTTAGACGCCCAATCAAGCCAAAAGGGCAATCGGCTTGGAGCCACGCGGTGGACGGAGGAACGTACCGCGCTTTAGTCCCCACAATCCCGGATGGGATCCACTTATCTCTTCTATTTTGGCCCGCCGTGTCCAGGAAACCCCTCTCCTTCACCATGCTTAACCGCCCAGCTTGCAGACATGGCCCATCCCAGCGGCCGGCTCGTGGTAGCACTAACGCAACAATGGACTTGGTCAGAAAACGACCTCTGCCTACCTGCCTAGGGTACGAATGAGAAAGAGGGGAACAACCGCGCCAGAGGTGACGGCGATGGGGATGGGGTGCGCTTGCTGAGGCCGCCCTGCTTCCTATTTGCCAGCACACCTCGAGAGAGCTTCACTAGCTCCCAACTTCCCAGTTCCCGTCCTGGAGCGAGGGGATCCCCGGCCGGCTGATCTCTTGAGCGCCGACGCGGAGCACCATCACCAGTGTGATATTGGCTACCTGCATCGGCCATCCACAAGCCTTGCCATGCCCAGCATCCTCCTCATTGGGCCGTCCATCAAGTGATGCTTCCTTTGCACACTCCACTACTGCGTAGTACCTTGGGACTAGGCACGCTGACTGCCTGCTTGCTTGCTTGCCCCAGCCATGAGCGGCGCATGTAGCACCGCATCTCGAGTGGCTTTTCCAACCCACCACACACAATGTGTCGTTGGCCCTCTCATGCGGCCTCGCCTGGCCTCCAACTACGGCCGCTCAAGGCATATAATGGAAGCCTCCCATCCCTTTCGTCTTCCATTCCTCTCTCTTCTCTTCAGCAAGCACTCGACAAGTAATTCCAGGTCTCTGATTTTCCCCCTTTCCGTTGTTTTTTGTTCTTTGTTTCCCTAGAGCTGGTCTCTATTCCTAATTGCAGCATCAACTAATACCCAACAACCGTTATTTCCAAAAACACCAATTTTTTGCATCACCACCACCAAGTTGCTGGGCAACTTTACCCCTAATCGGAAATCTGGAATTTCTTGCTCAATCGACCACCATTATTCGTCAACAGTTTCACACCTTGTTCGCAGCTTCTCCTGACAAATCGCAATAATGTCGTCCACTCAACTCTCTTTCTCTCTTCGCGTTTCTTCCGGCGTCAAGACCGTCCACCTTCTTGGCTCCTGGGACAACTACGTCGGACAACTTCCCCTGTCCAAGGACAAGACTTCCTCCAAGTCCGGCTCGTGGAAGGGCACCTTCAAGTTCAGCGGTTCCACCCTGTCCGCCGGCCAGCGCTACTGGTACTACTACATCATCGACGGCTACCACGTCGCCCACAACCCCAGCGTCACCTCCACCGTTGAGCCCACCACCGGCCGCGAGCTGAACATTCTCGACGTTCCCTCGTCCGGCAAGTCAAGCAGCTCCAGCAGCAAGTCCTCCAAGTCGTCCTCGTCTTCCAAGTCCTCCTCCAAGTCTTCATCACACTCCTCCTCCCACTCCTCTTCTCGCAGCTCCCGCCGCTCCTCCTCCAAGGACAAGAAGAGCAGCCGCAACCGCTCCTCGTCGCGCGACATCCCCAAGGGCCGACCCCTCTCCATCTCTCAGATCAAGGCCCCCAAGCCCACGTCGCCCCACGCCACTCAGCACATCCTCAACGGCGACTACCGCGATGAGGATCTCGAGGAGCTCACCGCCCGCTTCGGCGCCGCCGGCTTCGACGATGAGGATATCGTGACAGACTTCTCCAGCTCGCCCGTGTCGTCCAGCGGCTCCAGCCTCTCCTACCGCTCCGACAGCTCCAGCCCCAACTCGTCCATGTCCGGCTACAGCACCCCCGGCTCCGACATCAGCACCTGCACCTGCGAGCGCTACGGCATCACCCGCAAGGGCGACCGCGTCAAGATCGACTGTGGCGGCGCCCGCTGCGGCTACGGCGACAGCTCCGAGTGCTCCGACTCTTCCGACGAGGAGTCCGACGAGGAGGAGGAGTACGTCTCCAACAGCCGCCGCCACGGCATGGTCGTCCGATGAAGAGCCCGATGCCGTCCTGGGGAGGACACAACATCACCATGAAGACCTTAATCAGAAACAAACCCGAAGAAGAAGTCCCACGTGGACACACATTCATTTCGTCGCGCGACCCGTTCTCTTTGCCGCTCCCGTCTCGGCCCCTGGGGGCCAGGCGGCGACGCCGGCACACGGCAGTCAGCGCACGTTTCCAACCATCATTGCATCCACCGAGGAGCAGCGGCATGCCGAGCCGGTCTCGGTACTGCCCGCAACACCTCGTCCCAAGTGGGTCGATGCTGCGACCCCACGCCGCGATCACCCCGTCCGGATCGCGCGTGCCCGTTTCGTTTGTCATGTGCTCTTACTGACAACGAGGGAGCACCCTTGCGTGCCCTCCGAAGGGAGGCATGCGAGGCCGAAGCTCCAGCGGATGAAGAAGCCTCCGTGCTTCTGGGGATGGACCAATTACTGCGGCCCCAAGCTGGATGTTTGGAAAGCTTGGGCAAGCCGCCCTCATGTACCTTAGACAGCCAAGATACCGCCACAGGCGGAATGGGTAGACGCCTATGGAATCTATTCATCAATGAACACAACCTCAGGTGCCTCCTAGTGATCTTTTTTGACAGTCTTCCGTAAATTGGTGCATTGCCTTCGTATAGTGGTCTACCATCAGTGTAAGTTGATATGGTCGACGATGTAAGATGAAACCTCCGACCCTGAACGGGGGACCTTTCGTGAAAGTCGGCGTTCGGGGGAAAGATACCGCTGAAGAGGGCGGGGCCATCAACGTCACAAAGCGGGCTGGTGGGGGTCCTCTGCCGCCGTTCATCCACTGAAAGCTGGGGTCAGGGGGCGTGTTGCTGCAACAGCGACCCCGCGATGGAGGGACTTGGTGCGGGGACTTCACACACCTTCCTCTCACCTCATTTCCGCCCCCTAAACTTCCGTCTTCAAACACGCCCTCCAAGTCTCTTGAAACGGAGGGTTCCTTTGTCCATAACTCAACCTCGTCCCTCTCGGGTTGCTCGTCTTTACACATAACCGCCCAATTGACCACCCAACGGTCAATCACAACTACAGCCTTTACCACGAGCCCCGCTCTCCAAGATCCGCAGACCGCCAAATCGCCCGCCATGGACTACCCAATCGTCGACTCCCACATCCACCTCTACCCAGAGACCGAGATCGAGACCCTCGCCTGGGCGACCCCCGAGAACCCGCTCGCCAAGCAGCACTCCGTCTCCGACTACGTCGCCGCGACCGGCAGCCCGCCCAACCTCAAGGGCTTCATCTTCCTCGAGACGGACCGCAAGCACGACCTCGAGGCCGGCGTCAAGGACGCCTCCGGCTGGGAGTTCCCCCTCATGGAGGTTTCCTGGCTCCGCCGGATCGCCGAGGGCAAGCCCCGCGACGGCGAGGGCCACGGTGAGGAGCACAAGGACCTGTGCCTTGGCATCGTCCCCTGGGCCCCCCTGCCCTCCGGCGCCGAGGCCATGCAGAAGTACCTCGACCACGTCAAGGAGGTCGCCGGCGAACACGTCTGGCCCAAGATCCGCGGCTTCCGCTACCTGCTGCAGGACAAGCCGCACGGCACCGGCCTGACGGACGACTTCATCGACAGCCTGAAGCTGCTCGGCAGGCTGGGCTACGTCTTCGACCTCGGCGTCGACCAGCACCGCCGCGGGAAGCAGCAGCTCGACGAGGCGCTGGAGATCATCGCCCGTGCCCATGAAGGTGTTCCCGAGGAGGAGAAGGTCACATTCATCATCAGTCAGTTACCCATTCTCTAACATCTCAAAACTCCTGCTAACTGCTCCCTGCTCGTAACAGACCACCTCTGCAAACCCGACCTCGGCGTCATCAACACGACAGACCCTTCCTTCATCTACTGGCGCACATCCATCTTCGCCCTCTCCGCGTGCTCAAAGACCTACATCAAGCTCTCGGGCGGCTTCTCCGAGATGCCCGACTCCCTCAAGAAGCAGGACCCCAACGCCCTCTTCGAGGCCCTCTTCCCCTGGCTCGGCGTCGTCCTGGCCACCTTTGGCCCCCGCCGCACCATGTTCGGCAGCGACTGGCCCGTCTGCACCGTCGGCGTCGACGAGGCTTGGCGCAAGTGGAAGCTGCTCGTCGAGCGCATGTGCTACATGGCCACCATGGACCCTGAGGACCAGGCCGAGTTGTTCGGAGGAACTGCCCTGAGGGCCTACGGCTTGACTGGGTTTTCGCTTGTGTTCTAAAGGATTTATGATGAAGTAGTAAGACTTACAGTGGGCAATCATGTTTTAGAAGAGGTGGAAAGGCTTTACGATTTCAACATGGGCGCTGGAATGACTTTGATGAGAGCAGTTTCGCACACAGATACCAAAATCCAAATGATACCTTATTTAGAGACCGCCTAGTTTTCCTGTGTACTCATTGCTTCTATCGAAGAAGATGATATCAGTAATAATACTAGCGGCGACGACGACAGTAGATGACGACGATAATAATGATAACGACAACAACGACAGCAGTAATGATGATAACGACGATAATAGCAGCGACGATGGTAAGGTAGAGATTATAGCCACTGGGAAAACAAGCGGTATCCTTATTTATATGCAGATACTGTTACCAGCAGTCACAAGCATGATGACCGTTGTACAGCGAGGGATAACCAGGCAAAAAAGTGCTATTGATTGACCGAGAAGAACCAATGCTACAGCCAGCGATTTTAATCATAAACAGTACAGGAAATCAAAGAGCTGCTGCCCGAACCTGCCACGCCGGCTGAACCTGACGTGCATATCGAAATGAATCTCCAAGCATGAGAATTGGCTCGATAGCGGATACTCCTTCCTTCTTCCTTCCAACATACCCATATGCTTTCCGTCGCAAACTTTGAATACCAATAGCAAACGTGCTCATAATTCGATACAAAACATACTCAATCCTTATGGTTCGATGATCCAGGTCTGATCTGCCAGAAATGCGCCAGCAGCCCTCTCAGTCTGAAGTCACGCAATCTCCGTCTGCGGCCATGGCGTTCTTGCGAGAAATGCAAGGTGCTTATCGTGTCCTCAAGCCGGGACAGGATTGTTTCGAATAGCTCTTCTGGCTTGGCGGTTCTTGCACTCGAGAGCATACTTAGGATCATTTGCCTTCTTCCACTCAATGTACTCCTCATACTTCTGCTGAGCCATGGCATCAGGGATGCGAGGCTTCTGCGGCCGTAGAAACTTGTTGTCGAATTGCCCAGCTTGGTGGTGGTTGAGGGAGCCATTGTTGGCCATGTTGGAAGGTGCTGCTGCAAGGTTGTTGAATGTCTGAGGACCAAACCCGGGAGGCCCGATGTCAGGACCAGCAACAAATGGTCGGTTGAAGCCAGTCGTAAATCCGCCTGTCTGCGGTCCAAATCCTGCCATGGGCGGAGGGAGACCGGGTCCTTGAGGGTGCGGTCCAAAAGCAGTAGCCGGATGAGGCAGATTATGAGTCGTTGGATTGATGAAGGGATGGATTGAATGACTGGGCGGCGAAGTCTGCATTGGCATAAAAGTGCTGATCGGAGGTATGCCATTGTTAAGGTCGACTCCTGGAGACATGGATGGCACCAGTGGAAACGGTGAGGGCTGCAGAGCCGGTTTCATAGCAAGAGACTCAAATGAGAACGGCGAGGTTACCTTTTGCTGCGCTGCGCTTCCCAAACCGAACTTCTGAATCGTGTTGAGAATCGCCTCATTCGAGATTTGTTGGCCGCCGCCCTCCTCAAAAGGCTTGAATTGGTCGCTCTGACCTACAATCTGTTCGAGAACCGACAGAGGGATGTTCATAGAGGTCTCTGATCCGCGCTTCTCTGCAACAACGGGGTTTTCCTTGGAGGAAAAGGCCGCGAATTCCTTCGCTAGGGGGTTGAGAGACCGCTTTATCGGGCTTCTCATGTCGACACCAGAATCACCAGAGTCTTGTCTTTGTCGATCTTTGGGTGAGTCCTTTACCACAGCTACTGGATGGTATTCTGGTATAGACGAACTTTTGAGCTTCCGAAGCATCTCATTGAAGCGAATATTTTTGATGGCATCTTCGTCAGAATTCTTGTCTCCAACAGTGACAACGGCAGGGTCTTGTATGATAGCTGTCTTTTTGACCTGGCACTCCGCCTGCAACTTCTTGAAGTGGTCTTTCCCGCTGAAAATGTTGTCTTGGTCGTAATTGCAAGGGTTGGTAAGATCAACCATAGACAACTTGCGAGGCGTGATCTTAGCGCCTCTTAGCTGCTTCTCAAAATCGAGAATGCCACCATCGCGAGGCTGGGACTTGAACCGAGTGGCACTCTTAATGCGGCGAATCTCGGCATTGTTGAATATCCCACCGTGCTCATCGCAACCGGGGTCATCGCAATCATGGATCACCAAGTCCATGACAAGAGGGGTGGCTCCCTTCTTCTTCTAGTTTAGGGCACTGCCTGCAACTCTCTCGTCGAAGCGTCCGTGATGAATAGCGAGGCACCTTATTTTTGCACCTGGCTCCTTCTCCCGGGTGAAGATCTCTTGAGGCACGACCGCCGCATTTCCTCCGAAGACGGGGTCTGTTGCGATCAACAGAGGGTCGACGCCGGAAACAGGCTTCCGCACGTGAGTAGCAGGGTCAGCCATGTTGAAGTCGGTGATGATGCCAGAAGTCTTCCGGCTCTTGGAGACTCTGATGCACTCAGTGTTGTTTTCATGTGGTTTGAGGGGCTTTCTCCAGTTCGAAGAGTTCAATACGGCGGCGTGTTTCTCGGTCAAGGCTCTGTTCTCGTCGTTGGTTCTTTGAGGCGAGGGGTGCCGGGTGTTGGATGAACCTCTGTCGGGTCGGTTGATAAGCCCCGCAGCATTTCTGATATTCGTGTAAACCATCTTGGCCGCTCGTTTGTCAGAGATGGGGAGTCCAGCGAGTGCCGTGAGCCCGCTCCGTTTTGCAGGAGCTTGCAGACTATCGAGAAAGCTAATATGACTGTCAATATTTTGGTCACGCAAGCTTCGCGAAAGCTAGAGACAGAA